CTCCGAAAATATCTTCGGCACTTATATGACCTGACCATCTTGCAAGTTCCGTAAAACCCTTACGAAAACGAAAGACGAGAAAACATAGACTTTTACACCCTAGATCACATTCTGTCATGGCCACCGCCCCATGCTCTAAAAAAAAAAAATAGAACGCACCAAAAAAACTACACTTTGCATTAACCCTTACGCGCCCAAATCAAAGTCTTAAGTTGTCGAGAATCGGAAAATATGACTAACTATTCTCGGGGAGAAAAGTGGTCGTCTTAGAAAGGTGCACGACTTGGATCTTACCAATATAATACAACCTCCCCCCCAAAAAAAATTTAAAAATCCAAAAAAATCCCCCCTCCAAGGAGGTATAGAAGTGGTCGTTTGTACAGATGATTATTTTGGACAGATAGTCGTTACAGAAAGAAACTTGACCGTCAGCCAGTTGGTAATTCTGCGGAAATCGAAGAACCCACTTGTAAAATAAAGATCCTCAGTTTCCCACGTGCTAGAAACAGCATAATATTATATTATTGTGTTGTCTGCATTCACTGGTAACATGCACTGATGTTTTTGAATAGAAGAGTAAAGTTTGTCAACATAACACGAGATTCTTGCACTTACTCAAGAGTCAACAATAATATTAGAATAACATTAATATAACTCAAACCAGACTCCTGTTATTCTTGAAACCGACATCAGAACTGTGGGGAAATGGTTACGTTCTATACTCCTTTCACGCCAAATAGTTATGAGTTCGAATCCCGCGCGAGGAAGATTATAAATCTCATAAGAATATGTCGGTCTTTCTCCCGGAATGTCGTCTCCAGCTGAACCTGAATTTGACTCTGACATACCGGAATAAAGCAGCCCGATCCCTAAAAGATCTAAATCGAGTTGATTCGGGCGTAAAACACCTACAACTTTACTTTCCAGCTTTGAAGCGCCGTTTCCTTTTCACTCCTCTGCTCCGACATGAATTGCGAAATGAGGTTATATTTAGGTCAAGCAGGCAGGCCAGTTGACGAGTGTAAGCCGTTGTAGAGGGCAAAGCTAAGCTCGAAGCAGATTTTGGCAAGGAGTGCGGTGGAGTCCCATAATGCCTGTGCTAATCCTTTGAAGTCCCCGTGCGCGGTCGACATACGCAGTGAGAGTAATCTCTGTCTTGAGATCCCCCTCGTTTAGGGCTGGGTCAGAACTCCGAAGGTTTTAAACGGTACTTGAAGGGGGTTAAACATGTGTAGTGTAAATCGATATTATTTTTTTTTCTGTCTTCGTTAATAAAAATGTTTTCTTTGTTTGTTTTTGTTTCTGGAGTTGTTTTTTTTTAAGTACTTCAGTCGACCCTTTTCTTACGGTCACCTGTCCAAGATAACTACCTGAATAAATGACCACTTTCCACT